GAAGAAAGGAATTGGAAACTCGATTGATATCTTAGATAGTCTATTTTATATATTTACTGGTAACCTCTTGCTTTAGGCATCTGTGGAGCTGTCTCTCCATATTATTCTTTAGAAATGCCCTCTACTTATTTCCACCTGATATCCAAGTTTTACTACCACCTACCCCTCTGCCATCATTCCCTGAGATTCATGTGAGATGAAACAGAGACCTGAAGAGGCAGTCCTGACAGGTTAGAACATTATAAAATTCCCTCTCTCTGAATCAGGGGGGAATTGGAAAATGATTTGCCACTTCCTCAAAGACTTTACCACAATGGGGACCAAGGGCAACAAAAACACCACAGAATGTCCTACCATTTTGAATGAGGCTGTTCTTGATTTGGTATTTGGTTGGTTGCTTTGGACCTTCGACTGTTTTATGGAAATACAGTAAGGTTATTCTAGCCAGTATTTTGGTTGTCTTTGATGTCTCCTTGGGGAAACAAGAGCTTAGAGCTTGGTAGTCTGTCATTTTGCTCAAGTATGTAGATATTTAATCCTTGCTCAATGACATTCACTCAGCCTTTGTGAGAACCATTTACCTCATTTCCAAAGTAGTTATATTATTTTCTAACTTTCATCTTCTTGTGAATATCAGTTTAGCTGGATATGAAAGTTATTATCAAAAGGCTTTGTATATTGTAGGCCTTCAGTGCATCGTAACAATAACTTTAATTATATTACTATTTTGAAGTAACAGTTTGGAGAGTGATATTATATTATTTCACTACCAACATCATGAGAGACTTGAGGGAATGATGGGGGAAAACCTCTGCAGTATGCTAATTCTAGGTTACATTTTGTCTCATGGAAAACACAGAAGTCTTACTTACCCTATCCTAATTTGATGGATGCTTTGTATAAGTCTGAGTTAAAGAATTACTTTATAATCTGATTTCCACTAGGAAGCTCTTCTAGGTTGTTAGGTTGCCATGGCATCCGGACCCAACTTTATGGACCCTGTTTGTCTACTGGAAAGTGTTAATGAATTGCTGTCAGTGAACCAAAAAGCTCTACAGATTCTTGGTGAGATTTCTCAGCCAGTGGTTGTGGTGGCCATTGTAGGACCATATCATACAGGAAAATCCTACTTGATGAACCGTCTTGCAGGTCAGAATCATGGTGAGTATTTTACTGGGTCAAGGGCTTATTGCTTGATTCTAGCTAATACCTCAGCTTCTTCATTTTTGTTCCTGATCATGTGCAGGGAGAGCCAAACTTCTCTTAACAAATCAACTTTCCTCTAATATTTCTCACTGCTAAATCACTATCTTACTGTAATTTGTTACCATATTCTATGTTTTATTCCTGTAAAGCAAAATTTCTCCTAACCAGTCACACAATCCTACCTTATTTTGCATGTTTAATCACTTGACTCTTGCAATTGTGTCTACTCTCTCTTGAAACACATTTTGCTTTTTTATGGAATATTCTCATCAACATATAAAGATGTTCAAATATCTATAATCTTAAAAATATTTCCTGTATGTCATATCCTACTGTGGTTAACATCTCTCCTCACTTTTGAAAAATAATTTTGTCTGACAAAAAATATAATCTTGATGTATTTTTTCCACTTTTTCTCTTCCCACGTCAGTCTTCAGTCCATTTCTCTCTGGCTTTGAATCACACCATTCTTTCAAGATACTCTTGTTATGATTATCTGTGACCTCCATTTTGTCTGATTCACGGATTCCCCTTTGCCTCCATGTTGAGCACTTGCTTGGTATCCTTATCACAATTAATATTCCTTCCTCTTTGAAACAGATGACACACAAAGTAGGATATTCTTGAGGAAATGGGGAAAGCACAATCTCGTATGCTGGGGTACTGACATTCCAAAGAACTGAGTCTGTAGCCCCCTGGTTTCTTAGATTGTCTGCTCTCACTGAATGCTGCTTTCTCACCTCTCCTCACAGGCTTTCCTCTAGGCTCAACAGTGCAGTCTGAAACTAAGGGCATCTGGATGTGGTGTGTGCCTCATCCACGCAAGCCAAATCATATCCTGGTCCTTCTGGACACTGAGGGCCTCGGGGATGTGGGAACGGTAAGGCAGAAATTCATAGTTAAATCCTTTTTATTCTGGATTTTCTCCTTATATATCCATGAGCCTAGAAATTTTACTACTTTAATATGTAAGATATAGAAATCAATGATAGTAAATGAGGCAAACTATGGTTTGTTTGAATGTCACTTCTAGGTAAGTTATCATAGTGTATTAGATAAAATCTTTTATTTCTTGGCACTGTGTGGATGACTTGATTACATTTAGTAAATCATTATTGAACAGCTGAGTTCCAGGCCTTTGGACTTAGCACTGAAGATATCAGTGACCAAAATAAAGATCCTGCCCTAAAAGAGTCTCTAGTTCAATTGACAAGACCACATTATCTGCAGTCAGATTTGATACCATGTATTTGGGAGAGAAGCAGGCTGGAGAGAGAAAGAAAATTCATTGCATTGCAATCCCCAATTTCTGGGAATTCCATGGGAGTTCTGTGGCTGGAATGGCTTTTTTGAGTTATCCAGAGTTTGAACAGGGGTGCTGATACATTTTTGAAGAGCTGCTCCAGATGCCTTTCTAATTAAAAGGGCTGACACCTGAAGACTGTTTTCCACCAGCACTCCCGACAGCTGGAGGAATAAGTCCTTCAGTCTTGAAAGATCATCCAGATAGCACCTGATTCGTTTTGAGAACTTACATTTAAGCATAAGTAAGAAAGAGGAGAAACATCAATTTGTGAGTGAGGAAAGATTTCTGATTCACTTCCTTAGCTACTAGGTGAAGAGTGTATTTAAGGGTTGGGTTTAAGAGATGGGTTTACATTTTCTATGATGAAGTTCATCAACTACTCACAGTGTTCTGGAAATCTGTGAGGCACCACTGAATGTGCAAGTTCTATAAAAGTAAGTTTTTGTCCTAAAAGAAACATTTTAAGCTGGGTTTTTTGTGTTTTAGCTTTCTACTAATGGGTGAAATGAATTATCCCTCCTTTCCCCCCTTTGAGACTTATTTGGAAATAGTACCTACATTTTTATAGCTCTCTCTTTTTTCTCAATGGAAATTAGAAAGTCTGTGTTAATTTTTTTAACATTTTGTATTAAGTAATATTCATGTAACAATGTTGTGTCAAATTCTAGTGTAGAGCACAATTTTACAATTATATATGAACATATATATGTTCATTGTCACAATTTTTTTCACTGTGAGTTACCACAAGATCTTGTTTATATTTCCCTGTGCTATAAAGTATAATCATGTTAATCTATTCTGCATTTTAAAGTCCCACTCTGCCCCTTCCCACCCATAGCCTCCTTGGCAACAACAACTATGTATTCTATGTCTGTGAGTCTATTTCTGTTTTGTGTCTATGTTTTGTTTTGTTTTTAGATTCCTCATATGAGTGATCTCAGATGATATTTTTTC